TTATTCTTACAAGTGATGACTCATTATTGTTATTCTTACAAGTGATATTTCACTGACACTGCTTCAGTTAGTTAGTTATTGCAGCATGTTGCATAAACCATATTTTTTGTTTGTTTAATTCTTCCCGAGAAGAAAAGTTTAAACCCATCCTTTAGTATTCCTTTTTGTGCTCGTTTCGTTTTTTATTTGTTTTTTTATATAATTTTTATACAAGTATGAATTTATTATTAATTTTTGAGGCGGGTTTTCCTTTCATTACTCAAGGGTTCAAAATATCAACACATGTGCACGCAATTAGTGAATTTATGTTGCACACTTTTTATTCACTCTCATCAAAGAAGTATTTGCTCTTTCATAATTGTTTTGACAAATCCGACGACTTAATTAGTTATCTACAATTAAGTAAAATGTCCTTTTATGTATTAATAATTCGCATTTCATTATTAAGATTTTCATATATAAATGACTGTCAATGATTCACTATTAATTTGTCAGAATAATATCAAAGTAATATTTTTTGGAATCTAATATGACAAAGAAAAGAAAGATCATTTTTTAGGTCTTTTAAAACCAATGCTAAAAATTTACAGTGCCTTTAGAGTATGTATTTTAAATCACTGTAATAAAATGTACGGGATAAAACAGGCAACTTGGATGATCGAAACTAACCAAACAAGTCAAAACAAAAGAACAAGTGATCGTGTGAATTTTTTGTCTCAACGTGCCGCCAGACTATGTAGATGTTGTTCAGTTAAATACTTGATACTTAGTTGGCAGAATGGATGATCAATGTATGTACATCAGAGATGGTACTTTTAAATTGTTTTTTTTTTATACAACTTAATTCTTTGGATTTTAAAATTAAACAATCACATTTATTTAAATTGTTCTCTGAAAAGTTTCGTAGCTTTTTAAAGCCTTAAATCCTGTAACTTCATAAGAAATATAATTTTGCACATTTTCCGATTTGTTACTTTTTTAAGCATAAATTTTCATTGAATTAACTATTTTCAGAAATGTCTGTTCTCGTACAAAAACCAATTTTGTTATTCCTACAAATCCTTCATTATTAGACAAATTAAGATGCAATTTGGCATAACATTGCTGAAGAATGTAACCAATGTAATTAATTCTGTGCATAAATGAATTAAAAAGTACAACCTTAAAAAATTAATACCCTAAAAACAATTTCTTTGTACAATATTTTAAAACTCTCACTATTTTAGTTTCTAAGATATACAATACACAATTTTTATTTCGTATAAAAGGTACCATGTCCGCTAATGATAATTCGCCCATTTTTCCAAATGTTAATATTTATGTAAAAGTTTCACATGTAAACTTTTCACATGTAAACTTTTAATTTATATGGGAGCCCCAAGCCCCCTATCCGCCAAATTATTACCCAAAATGTTTACATGGATTTTTTCCCCAAATTAGCTATAATTGTTTCCCAGATATACGATTTCTTGTATTTAATTTTATCACACCCCCATAATCCGCCAATTTATTGGACAAATATTTACATGAATGTTGAAAGTTGTTTGTACAAAATAAGAGCATTCTAACTCCAATAATTTCCCCGATATACAATTTTTTGTATTTAATTCATACGGTAGGTACATAGTTTTCCAGATATACTAATTTGGTATTAACTTTATATGAGAGAAAGAAAATTATTAAAATAATTTTATTAAGTTTTTTAACCAAATTGACCTAAAAAATTGATTTTTATTATCAGAACAGTGTTGGCAATAAGGTAGTTCTGTATTATTTTACCACCCAAAAATAGTTATAAATCTAATGTACAAACTAAAAAAAAATACAAACACACATTAATTTATATATGTATGTACGCATATAGATGTAGGCTGGTACAATTTCTATACTGAATTTGCCGTCTCTGAGAGTGTGTATGTATTTATATCTTTAGATAGAAGATTATTGTGTTGTGGCTACATATGCATCGTTTTCTTCAGATGCGGAGCTCTTAAACATTGACATAAACTGGGGAAATTTTATAATTCCATTAAAGCATTTGTTTATTTAACCTTTTCGACCCCGCATTATAATGGCGATATCTAGAAAGAATATAAGCGCATACAGATATAGCCCTAGTCATAGATATTAACTGATACTAACATCAAACTCCTGCTGTCCTGGTTTGTCAGTTATAAGGACATTAGTTTGCAAGCTCCCCAAAAAGGTTTTGTAGCAAATTACACTATGCGACAAAAAAAGTGATACCATTTTTCTGATAGATGGTTCTGAGTTGAACAAGAATCTGTTTTTTAAATTTGCCAAACAGTTCCAAACGGGTAAACCCCGGTTTTCGTACCTTTTAGCATTTATACGTCGGTAATTTAGTTGAATCTTAAACGATTTGAAATTTCTGAACGTATCACAACGGATTAATAAAGAAGAAATTGAGGCCTTTATAATGACATATGTATATTATGTTTAGGAACCTCGAGAATTATGTTTGATCTTAGTTTAGCACCGTTTTGCACATTATTTTTCATACAGGAACCGTACTTATAACACTTGTTTACAACGATTTTGCTCATGATAGATTTATATATGGATTTCTTTGTTTAGGCCGTCGAAGTCCAGAAAAAAATTTTAAAAAATACAAAAAGTTTTTGTAGTAATATGTAAACTTGTCTTATTAATGTATTAGAAAACAATATCTAATAGTGAGTAAAACGCAGCTTTGTTTTTAAAATCCACTAACAATTGAATATGTTATTAATCTTTTTTTTAATATAAAATTATTCAAAAATTCAATTATAAACACTAATATCATAATTAAATTCGCCATAAATAACTTTTATATAAATATAAATTTTCCCCATAAAATATTGTTAGGATCGGTTCATATTTAAACCTTTCTAAACATATTTTTTTAACAATAGATCAATAAACTAGTTTATTGAATAAACATAGTTTTTAATATTTTAATAAAGAGAACGGTTCCTATTTTAAAAATAGCTTCAAACTTGGAAAACGGTGCAAAACTAAAAGTGTTATATTCGGCTGTGCCGAATCTTGTATACCCACCATCAAAACATTGCCGAAAAGGAATGCTTTCTTATAAATAAACTTTGACATTTAAGAATCGATGCTTTTGTTATTATCAAAATAATTTTCTCATTTATTACATCTATGTATAATTTTACCATCAAACATATGTATGTACATATATCGATAGGATCAATTATGGACTGATCCTCCTAAAATTTGGTAGAGAAATTTTTATCAAATTTTGTCGCTGTACTTGTATTTTTAAGGTAGTAAAAAGCGTTAAAGTCCTTTTCTGAGAGGGACCTTATTTGGGGTGAGGTTTGGTCAATTATGGATCGATCCTCGTCAAATTTTCTAGAACGATTTTAGTTTAGGCTAGTAATGAACTTTAAAACCATTTCTGAAGGGGACCTTATATGGGGGGTAGGGTCAATTATGAACCGATCATTTTAAAATTTTACAAAGCAATTTAGGTTCCTATAAAATATGTTCATGTCGAATTTCATCGCTATGCTTCTTTAAGACAGTTATGAGCGTTAAAGTCATTTTCTGAATGGGACCTTATATGGCGGAAGGGTCAATTATGAACCGATCCTTATAAAATTTTACAAAGCGATTTAGGTTTCTATAGAGTATGTTCATGTCGAATTTTATCGCTATATATGCTTCTTTTAGACAGTTATGAGCGTTAAAGTCAGGTATATGCTTCAACTAAAAGTATTTATGCAAAATTTCAGCTCTATAGCTACTTCCGTTTGGACTCTATCGTGTTTTCAACAGACAGGCAGACGGGCATGGCTAGATCATCTTAGAATCTAATAAGGACCCACAATATATATACTTTTATGGGTCTTAAACGAATATATAATATTCGGAATGAAAAAAAACACTATACCCCCATCTTTTCTGATGGTGGGTATAAAAATATGTTTGCTGATAAATGCACACACATTTCTCCAGGTTACTTAAACATTATACATACATATGTACATACATTTCGTAATTCGTTAGGAAATTTTAAATCGGTTAAGATTCAACTATGTTACTGATTTACAAGTGCTTAAAGGTACACAAATCCGGGTTTTTACCCGTATCTCAAAAATAAATTCTTATTTTACTCAATAATACCTATAAGAAAAATAGCAAGTATATTTTTTAATTTAATATAGTGATTCAATTTTATATGTGATTTAGTTTAAGTCCAGATCGTAATAAGTAGACAAATTGATTATTTTTTATAAACAATTATTTTTAGTCAGGATGCATTTTTAAACATCATCAACACATGATATAGCTTAAATTCGAAATCTATTTGCAAACAAACTTAACGAACAATCTTATGAAACATTATTAAAAGTTCATTTTCGGCACCGAAATCAACATTTATGTTGCCAATTGCTATTTAAGCAATTCATGGAATAAAAAGGGATATAGAAATCATAGTAAAATCCATACATGTATATACATTTCTTTTACATACTGAAAATCTTGTATTAGAAAATGATAAGCTTTTGTATTTGTAGCATTTCCGTTTGCTGAAATTTCATACCGATTTCAATGCGACAATTCCTCCGTTTAACGAAAACATGCCTTTTTGTAGAATGTTTCGATAGTGAAGGCTTAGGATCCAAATCTACATTTAACACAACCAAATAAACGAACAAATATAGCGGAAGCGATCATAACTCACATACGATTTTATAGTTACATACATACATATGTACGTATGTACGTACACATCGTGTACAACAAACAAACAAATCCAGTAGCCAGACGATTAAACATTTTCAGTAATTCTAACACACAAACCAACACACTTGTAGATATCAACAGACACACACATAAAATCACAAGCAATTTTGTGTGGTTTTCGTTCTACATTACTGCTGTGATCGTGTTGCATGATGCCTTTTAGGAACGATCGCGAGCTTCTTTTACAGTGCGCATTGGCATATAGGGTCAGTTGCTGACTGGCGCTCTTTCCCAACGGTTGTGTTCGCTCCACGTTCTAAAAAAAAACGATTAATAAACTAAAAATTTACCACAAACCAATTCTAACAAGAATATAACTCGCGATCCTGTGAATTTAATCAAGGATATTAAGCAATAAAACTATTACACTAACAAATACTCAATTTAATAGTATGTCGAATCAAGTGCTATTAGTAAAATAATTAAAAATATATTCATACTCAAAATCATAGCAAAACATATTCAGAATTTAAACATTTAAAAATCCCTAAAAGGGAATTTATAGTGCCATTTGATACTAAATCAAATAAAAAATAATATCTAAAAACAAAATGGATTTATCAAGGCGGTCTCGGTAAGGCTACATTTTAATCAAAATTTTCCCAAAAACAATATTTATGTGATAGTGTGAAAAAGTGTTTTTTTGCATATTTTTATGAAATATTGAATATAAAATTTATCTAGCTGATTGGATATCATACGCATATAAATAATTTAGTTTGATTATTATAAGGATATAAAGCAGAATTAGTTAGACTTCTTATTTTAATACAAATGTTTTTCAAATGTCTATGTTTTACAGTCAAACTAATTGAAATTATATTCCTAATACAAATTTCGAATTGTTTAACCACTTGAGTGTCTCAGATTTAATGTAATGCATTATTGCATAATTACATCTACATTATATATGGATCTTTAACGTATTGTCTTCAACACTTTAAATGTACATAGTATGTGTATGTATGTATATGCATTTGTTTAACTGACTAATTGATTTAAAAATATTTGCTGAACTTTTGTTAACTGAAAATATGAATATATGTATATACTTAGATAGATGTAGATAGATTCATGTGTTGTTATAGAGGTGCCAGTAAAAGAGCGGAAATAAGGAAGATTCATTTGAAACTTGATTTTAATTAAATTAACAAAAATAATATTCAGAAATAACAGTATTACTATTTTTGAAACAATTGTGAGTTACATAAATAAAAACGCAATTTTTAATACAATTACATAGAGTTTTGAAAGTTCAAAGAACGATTTTATTTCTATTGAAGTGGTTATAAATTGTAATAAGCAATTTTAATACGAGTAATTAAGTCAAAAAACTAAAGCATACTACAATAAGTACTTATTTAAAATTTTGTCTTAGGTTATTAAACACTGTTTAATTGTTAAGTAACCTTAGCTTTACGCGTTCACATTGGCAAAATATTCACGTAAAAACTCCACACTATTATTTGTAACTCTTGTTATTTAAATTTAAGTTATATTTTTATAATCAAATTACATATCGCTCATTTACTGCGAGACCGGCATAATTTCGTTTGAATAATATTGTCGGAAAACGTTGGTACTTTTAGGGAACTGAGAACACTTTAAAAAACAATATTTTTCATGTTTCTCCTATTTAGTACATTAACACTACTCACTCAATAAACATTCATGAAGATATCATTTTTAGTTCTGACGTTTAGGTAAAAATTTCTTATCTACACCGAAAATAAGAGACATCAATGAAAACCATATGAAAAACTTTCGAACGACAAAAATTTTGTTCAAAAACCCTAAATTTTGAGTTATGTCAGTTTTGTAGCAATTTAGAAATGTTAAATCTGTGATATTTTCTAAATTTAAACGAGTTTAATTAATTAAAATGATATTTTTGTATCAACAAGAAAAAAGTACTTAAGTTGGAAATAATAATTAATAATTTTATACCTAGTTATGTACCGATTTCTTAAAAAAATTAAACTTCCAGATAAAAGTTTAAAAAAATTACAAACTTAAGGTCTATAGTCTTTTTGGTGATTACAACTTTTTGTCAAATATTTCAACAATGTGGACAAACCAAAAGAAAATAAATAAAAAGAAATAAAATAAAACAAAATGTTTGTGAATTAAAAAAGACTTGAATGTTTGAGTTGTGCGAAAAAAGTGTAAAAAACTGGTGTAATAAAATTTATTCTACTCACTTGTACTTATTATAACTTCTTTCATGCTTTGTAATCAACCCATACACATGTTAATTAATTGTTATTTTTTACTTTTTTATTTTAAAAAATCCGCAATTACTTGACCTAAGTTAACGAACTGAAAGAACATGACAGCAATTTCACGTATAGAGTAAATACTCGTTCATACACATGTATTTTTGAGCAAAAACAAAAATCGGAAAAAGAAAAATAAAATAAAAAGAATTAAAAAAGGTGGAATGGCTAAAAAAGTGTTCTATTATATAATTTTGTTCGTTCGTTCTTTCTCTTGTTTCCATTATTTTGCCGGTGGTTTTTATGGCCACCATAAGTCATGTGTCGACCACATTTATCAAGTTGATCATACAATACAAATAAATGGATTTATGAAGACTCGTACGTAATTGAAAATGTTCTACGTAAAATTTTCTTTAGTTCCACAGTCTTCGAGTGTTTTTCTTTCCAAATATTTTAACAATTGGCAGTGTGAAATAAATAAAAGTCAAGTGAGAATAATTATATGCAAAAAGTTAATACGATCGATTCGGTATTAGTTTCTTGAAAGATAAATAAATACATTGTACATATAAATGAGCAAATCAATAAATCGAATTCATATTTTTTTTCTTCTTCTATATACACCATGCAAATTTAATAATATCGCAAGTTTCTGTTATGGAAAATAATTTGTATTATTAATAATTATTAAAGTTGAACCTTAATCGGGCAATTTAAAAGTATACATACATACACATAAAGTTAAAAAGAATGTTTTCATTCTTAAAACAGTACTCAGTGCATCCTCGTTTTAGTTGACATTAGTTGACATCGAATACATTTTGAATTTAATTTGGCTAAGTAAAAGCAACAAAAATTTAAAAAATCTAATTTTATCAAGAATGCCTTATTAGTGCATTACTATTATAAAAAATGCACAACTTAAGATCCCCATTTTGGTAAATTAAGCGCAAATTGAATCAATAGTTTTGAAGTTCTGTTTTCAGTATTATTAAGTTGAACACTATGAATTAATATATACGTTTTCTACATAAAATAATTACATATGTGAATTAAAGTGCTGCAAAAAAAAACGAATTTTGCCCGTCACCCCTCTAGAATTGTCCTTTGGGTTTACATGCAAAAAATTAGGCTAATAGGATAACGTTAAAAGTTGCCGCCATTTAACATGTCTCACAGCACATGAATTCGAAATGTGACAAAAAAATTACTGCTTTTGGGATATATTAAAAAAATATATATATATTTTATTACTTAAAATATACATAATTACTCGAATGCTAGTTTTTGTCCTTATAAGGTAACAAAACTTGTTCTCAGCTATGGTCAAAAAAGTTAGATTTTTTTCGACGGCCATTTGAAATCTCCAAATTCAAATCTACATTTTTTGTAATATTTTAGAGAATACACAGAGAAAACAGATTCGTTGTTACGACCGAATTTGTTGCCAATCGAATTTGGTCGGTTATGAGAACTGTTATGAAATTCGATAGGCATAACCGTTATTATCGGTTGACACAACTTCAATTATGAGTGAAGACAATTTGTTTTTTGGTTCAAATAAAATTCAAATTAATTTTTTTGTTTAAAATTTATTTTATTGGACGCCAAAAAGTATACTAGAAAAAGGGTACATGAAAAATACAAACGTAATTTTAGGAAATATATTTCCTAAATTCAGAATAAAAATAAAAATACATACATATGTATCTCCTAATGTAGACATATGTAAGTATATGGCGTATGATGTACTGGAGGACAAATCATCGAAGATTTGAAATTGGTAATCATTTTGATGCGTACAGGTTCAAAGAAACTTGATATATAAAAACTGACTGTAAGTAATGCATTTGCAAATCCTCGTAATGGCATTGAATTGCGGTCCTTTTTCTAAAGAAACAATTGTCAAAAGTTAAGTTAAGATGTTGTTTCGGAATGGAACATAGTATTTTTCTTACCTTCGCGGCTTTTAAAATGTTTATTTGCAGAAGCGTGTGAACGTTAGACCTTTTCAAAATATTTGGCAATTAGGGATGCAAAAATAAGTGCGGGCGGCCTCTTATTTTCCGCATTATATTATAATTCGTGCAATATCTTGTTTTATTTTGATTGTTTTAATATTTTGCTTTGAAACTATTTAAATATTATTAAAAATGTCAAATAAAATCAACAAAAATTTCGCTTGTGAGCTCCGAATATAATTTTATAATATCTCTACCAAAATGTTCCATTGTATTTACCAAATTTAGGATTGTAAACATCAAATCATAGTTTTAAAATTCGGTTGTCTCTGCCAATATTTTCAAATAAAATTTTTCAACAACACATTGATTATGTTAACTAAATAAACTTTGGTTCGAATAGTAATTCAATCACATTTATAATTTAATTGTTATAAATACAGAAAAACTATTGTATTCAGCAAATTTTTTTAATTGCAACAAAATAACACTTAGGATTACAAATAAATAATTGCTGTAACTGATTTCCAACCAAACTGTTTTCTGTGTGTACGTATTAATTCATTACTGAGAATTCATTACACTGAGAGTTCCCAAATATTACAAAGTTTGACCTTTGATCTCCACAGTTTATCGATTAAGATTATCCGATTTTAATAAAACTTCGGATATATGTACATATATTTGATTATGTACCTCAGTAAAGAACTAAAACGTATTCTCTAAAATATAACAAAAAAAATCGATTTTTTTTCATTCATACAAGCTTGGATCACTCTAATGTACTCACTATACATATATAACTTACTACTATGTTCACATTTGAAATAACAATTATTAATACTTGAAATAATAAGTACATATTTAAATAAGTCAATTGGACTGACTGATGGCACATACATACATGCTTATGTAAGTACTTTGGTAAAAAGAAAACAATTAAAATGTGGTACTTTTGTTTTAACCATATATTATATACATACATATGTACATATTTATGTATGAATATACAGGAATTTAAATACCAATGATTGTAATGTAAACAAAATAAATATTTTCGGTTTCTTGCTTCATTAATTAAAACATTTCTTTCACTGAAGCACCCATTTTTAGTTTATTACCTAAAAACTATAGTCACTTCAAAGCAAAAAAGTGGTTTTAAGAACTGAAATGAGTCAGTCGTGCGTGTACTCGACGTACTATATAATGTACATACAAATAATATCTTTTTTTAGCTTATTTTGTTATTGCCGTTGTTCATTTTGGAAGATAATCTAAATATTTATATTAAGTTTGTATGGCTAAGCGTTAAAAAGTTAAACAATTTAATTACTTTGATTTGTGAATATGTATGTATGTTTCATTTAAATCTTGAATTTCCTAAGTTTTTGATA